GCCCTCCCCCCTCTCCTCCAACCTCATCCCCCCCTCCGCTCTGCACGACGGCTTCACCAAGCAGCGCAGCAACGGGCAAGAGACCCGGAACGGGCGGACCCGGGGCGGGACGGGGGGCGGGGAGAAGGAGAACGCCAGCGGCATTCTGACCAATCATAGACACGCCGCAGGGGGCGGGGCCAAAGGCAGCCGCGGCAACAAAATCCGCAACAGCAAGAACCAGAACCAGAGGACCAGCGTCTCCTCTTCCTCCTCCTCCATCCCCACCTCCAACGGGGGGGGCATGGCGAGCAGCGGCCTGCTGATGTCGGCCATGGCGGCGTCGCCCTGCCAGCCTTCACGTCTCGCCCCGCGCTCTCAGATGATGAAGCGCAGCCCGCCGGCGGTGCCCTCGCCGCCCCGGCCCGTCCAGATGGAGAGGCACCTGGTGCGGCCCCCTCCCGCCTGCCCGGAGCCCAGCTGCCTGCTGCTGGACTGCGGCTCCGCCCACATCATGACCCGGGACGCCTGGCTGCGGGTCTTCACCTACCTGAGCCAGAGGGAGCTGTGCGTCTGCATGCGGGTCTGTCGGACCTGGAGCCGCTGGTCAGTGTCCGCGCCGCGGTTAGCCGCCGTCTGACCGGCTCCGCCTCCCGCTGACCGCCTGTTCCCTCGTCTCCGTCCAGGTGCTGCGACAAGAGGCTGTGGACGCAGATGGACCTGAGCCGCCAGCGCTCCATCACCCCCCCCATGCTGAGCGGGATCATCCGCCGCCAGCCCGTCTCCCTCAACCTGGGCCACACCAACATCTCCAAGAAGCAGCTGATGTGGCTCATCAACCGCCTGCCAGGTGGGACCAGAACCGGAACCGCCTGCTGTTTCCATGGCAACCAGTCTCACCTCTCTCTGCCTCCCCCCCTCAGGTCTGCTGGAGCTGGACGTGTCCGGCTGTCCCTGGACATCCGTCTCTGCTCTCTGCCAGGCCGTCTGTCCCTGCCTGAAGCTGCTGGACCTCAGCAGGGTGGAGGACCTGAAGGACTCCCACCTGAGGGAGCTGCTGGCCCCGCCCCCTGAGTCCCGGACAGGTGAGAAACCCCCTCACCCACAGACCCGATGCACCGCCGAGCGGACTCTGAGTGTTCTGTGCTCTGATTGGCCCGTCAGCTCACAGCGAGAGCAGAGCGGGACGCTTCCAGAACATGACAGAGCTGCGATTGGCCGGTCTGGATCTGACGGACGCGGCGTCCCGCCTCCTGGTGCGGCACACCCCCCACCTCACCCGCCTGGACCTGAGCCACTGCGTCAACATCACGGACCAGACGGTGCGGAACCTCACCGTCTCCCCCCTGAGGGAGAGCCTCACCCACATCAACCTGGCAGGTAGGGAGGGTCCAGTGCCCGCTGCTCCTCCTCTTCCTCCTCCTCCTGCTCCTCCTCCTGCTCCTCCTCCTTAGTCTGACTCTGTTGGTTCTGGTTCTGCAGGCTGTGTGAAGCTGACGGAGCAGAGCGTCCAGCTGCTCCAGTGCTGCTCCGCCCTGCAGACCGTAGACCTGCGCTCCTGCTCCCTCCTCTCCGCCGAGTCTGGACAGCTGCTCTCCTTCCCCTTCCATTCCGCCTCCTCCTCCTCTTCCTCCAACACCGCCTCCTCCTCCTCCTCAGCCCCCACCGCCGTCGCTGCTCTCTCCTCCTCCGCTGCTCCTGACGACAGAACGCTGCTGAAGAACAGCTAAGCCCTCTGGGTCATGTGACAGCTGCTGTGCTCAGCCTCTAAGCCCCGCCTCCGTCCTCGTTACACTACAGACCAGCGAGGAAGAGGAGGATGAGGATGAGGAGGGTACTTGGTGAAGGTGAATCGTAACCCTGAGCATGTACATATTTCTGGGTGTTTGTATATATCTGTAGTTTACTGTAAATGACCTTTGACCTCCCAACACTCCGCCCCCCTCCCTCCTGCGACCAATCACGGCGGCCCGTTCATCAGACCCCTCCCCCCCCCGAACCAGGACCCGGAAGCAGGTTCTGCTCCTGCTGCTGTAAGATCAGAACCTGTGATGAGTCCGGTTGGACGTTTACTTCCTGTTTAAACTGAGCCTCATCAGAACCCCCCTCCCCCACTTGTTTCTCAGGTTTTTTTGTTTTGTTTTGTTTAATTCGTTGGGCGGCGCCGCAGCACTTCCCGTCTGATCCAATCCCACCGGTTCTGGTCCGCCTCTGACCACCCTGGTTCTGAGTTGTGGGTCGGTTCTGGAGGAGACCCAGATCTGGTTTATGTTCTGGTTGGGATGACTTCTGATGAGGCAGATTGGGTCGGAGCGGTACCGGGTGGAGCCACACCCCCTGGCGCCTCCTCAGCTGGTTCTGATCAGTGTTTCTCCCGACAGCTGGTTGGTTCTGAACGGGTTCTTCAGATTTGGACCCAGTTTCATAATCTGGGTGGGTTCCTGGTTCTTACCTCTAGCAGAACGTTTAGACCCGATTGGATCCAGGATTTGTAAAATGAAACCGACCCGTTTTCTGACTAACCACATTTGGATTGAGGGCCCACAGAGCCTGACGCTGGTACCAATAGAAAAGGTTCTGAATCTGATCCCTGGCTGTTAGAACCAGAACCAGAAGTCGCCCTCCCTTCTGGGTCACAGTGAGCCGTACTGGACCTTCAGCAGAACCCATTAATTCTGATCCGGTTCCTGTCCAGCTGTGGTTTAAAGAACCAGCAGAGAGCGGAGGGAGGATTCTGAACCAGACTGGTTCTGATCCGCCGGTGGTTCCGAGCCTGCTGGGGGGGGGGGGCGTGGACCCGTCCATCTATTCCTGAGAGGGAAGCAGGGTTCTGATTGGTTCTGCTTGTCAGTGGTACCAGGAGGTTCTGGCTGACGGGCTGAATGTGGCGGCTCCTCCGCCCACGTTGTGCCATAAATGTTTTTTTTTATGTGTTTTTCAGTTGTTTATTTTTCCGGGGGGGGGGGGGTCTGATTGGACGAACATATCAGTTTGGATCTCGATGCACTGGATCAACCCAACGTTGCCCTGCTTCATGTTTTGGCCAAATGTTTTTTTTGTTTTTGTGAAAAAGGGCATTTCATGTTTCTTTGTGTTTCGGTTTGTTTTTATATTTTGTCCACGACTCTTCCGACTCGTCGACGGGAAACCAGGAAGACTTCGGAACAAACGCTGAAAACAGACAAAAAAAAGACCAACTCAAGGCAGCTACGTATGAATGACTACTGTACCACGAATAAAGAAGCAATGGGTTTGTTTTTACTCCTCGTGTCTCGTCTGGTTTATTCCTGATGTTCTGCTTCTCAGAAGAACCTGGAGGTCAAAGTTCATCCATTGATTTAACTCGGACGGTTCTGGGTCCGTCCTTCATGATGAACAGCTAACATGGTGGAACCACTGAGCTCTATTCACTGATTTCTGATCGCCTGCTGGTAGTACAGGGTGGAGTGAAGCCACCGGCCGCCATATTGGTACTCCCTAGCTAAACCGGTCCCGATGTAAACAATCTGTGCGCTACAGGATCAAACAATGATTTTCAGCTTAAGACTTAAAATAAATATAAAGTTATCACTTTGACACAGACTGGCTGCTTCACAGCATCAGCAGATTAACTTTAACTTAGAATAAAAAATAAGGCCAATCACATTGAATAGTCATTATGAAGTCAAATCATTTAATACAAATCCATCATAATAAAATGAATGTGTTAGAGAAGAATAATACTGAGCCAAATGTGCTAAATTGATGAACGTCTAATACATTGTTGTGGTAATTACATCTGATTATTTAAAAAAAAAAAACTATACAGGTATCTATGTACGCACAAACACGTACACTATCCAGTAATTAAATAGCTTTATTAATATATATATCATGTGTCAGAAATATTTTGCATGTTACATTGATAAAATAAATGTAGGAATTTTACCCATATATATATATATATATATATATATATATATATATATA